CTTTTTTTTCTTCCTTCCTTCCTTTTTTTTTCTTTTTCTTCTTTTTTTTTTTTGCGGTACTGGAGATCAAACTCAGGACCTCAGGACCTTGCACTTGGGAGGCAGGTGCGGTGCCACTAAGCTAAATCCCAGGCCCCTATAGCATACATTGTTACAAGTGGCATTGCTTTTGTGTGTGTGAGGAGGGTTGAAACAGGATCTTGCTATGTAGTTTGGGCTGGCCTGGAACTCACGGTGATCCCCTTGCCTCAGCCTCCCCAGTGCTAGAATTATGAGTGTTGGCCACCATGCCCAGCTAAAGTGGAATCGTTGGTCCAAGGGTTATATGCAATGAAAATTTTGGTAGATTTACTAAGTAGGCCTCCAAAGAGGTTGTACTAATTGTTTCCACCAGAAGTATAAGTCTACTCATCCTTACTCCCCACATGAGTCTTAAGACTTCTGAAAGTCAGGAAGCGTGATCCCTGGTGGATCTGTAATCTCTTGTCACAAGTAAAGTTCAGCGTTGCTTTTAAGTTGAGTGGCTCTTTGTTTTCCTTTCTTTGGTGAATCCTTGTTATTGTCCTTTGTCCTTTTTCTCTTTGCTCACTGATTTCTAACTGGCTTGCCTCAGAGCTCTTTGTGTATTAAGGCAGTTAGCCCTTTGTCATAGCTTAGACTTTTATTGACACAGAGAATGTTCAGAGAATAATGTTAAAGGGAAACAAAACAGAAACAAGCCCAACAGACCAGGATGCAGAACTGCACAGACACCACAAACCCGGTTGTAACCGTGTGCACACTGAGGCCCGTGAGGACCTAGCTTTCCCTTTTGGGCCACTGGCAGAGAGGCCTGGCCCCGAGACACTTGTGTGATGGCACCAGGTGAGCTATGCGACCCTTGGGTGCGTGTTTAGGGAGGACCGAAGTCCTTCTCGCAGCAGGCTCTTATTCTGCCCTGGCTGTGTGCCCCGGCCGGCTTCTGCTACACATGCCCTGCTTTGCAGCCTTGCCCTCTGCTGCCCCTTGCTGGGTGTTTGTCTCTGTGGTCCACCAGCGGTGTTGGTGCCGAGCGGCTAGCAGAAGGTGCTTGGGCCCCTCTGCCCTGTTCTGGATCACTGGGCCTTTGTGCTGAGAAGCAGAAAAGGGTCTTCCCATCTGCCCCGGGGCCGGCCGGAAGGACTCAAACTCCTGCCTCCCTCCTGTTTGTGCCTGCCCCTCCTCACCTCTGAGGTCTCTGCCTTTGACTACATGAATTCAGCGGGCCTCCCTCACCCCACTGCATATCCCTCTGCCTCAGTTTACCCAAATGCCTCCTGGCATAGTTGATGTGGCCCTCAGCTCTGGGCTCCTCTCTTTTGGGGGAACTAAAAATAGAGGAGCTGCCGCCAGACATGCTAACTGACATTCAGTTTGCTTTCATGTCTTGCCATTGTCCACAAAAAAGCAGCTCTGGGGGCTGGGGATTAAACTCAGTGGTGCCGCTGCCTGCTTCGCAAGTGCAAGGTCTGAGTTCGATCTCCGGTACAAAAAGGGGGGGGCTGCCACTTTGTGCAACATCTCTGTCCCTTGCTGAGGTGCCAGGTGGCAGTGGTCCCAGGATCTGCTTCTCCAATGGTTAAGAGTCAGCAGCGCACGCTGGGCATGGTGGTACCTACCTGTAATCCCAGCACTCTGGGAGACTGAGGCAGAAAGGTTCAAAGTTTGAGGTCAGCCTGGGCGCTTAACATCTTAGTGAGATCTGTCTTAAAATGAAAGGTAAAAAAGGGCCAGGGATCTAGTTCAATGAAAAGGCTTTGGATTCGCTCCCTGGTACAGACAAAAAAATGTCAGCAACAAGACCCAGGCCAGGCACGGCCTCTGCATGCCTGTGACAGGCTAACCCCTAATAGTCCACCTGTGTGACCTGGGCTTTCCTAGTGGGGCTGATCCATGTGGTCCTCAGGCCTCAAAACTGATGGGGGGACAGGCTCTGTGAACCAAGAACCTTGTTCCCTGTGATGGAGGCCGGGGTGGTGGGAAGCCAAAGGGGACTGGTGTTTGTGACCGACTTCCTCTTTGCTGGGCACAGTCCTGCCTTGCTCACTACAGGGACTCAGTCTTCCTCCACCTTGGTTCAGTATTCTCCAAAGTGGGCAAAACAGTGACACCCACACTGCAAGTTGGAGCAGCCCGAGACCAGGCATATCCTGAACATGCAGTGAGCTTCTCTGGAGAGTGGGATCATCTCTACTCTGAGAGCCCAAGAGAAGTCACTTCCCCCAGTGAGACCGCCCCCCCCCCACTCTCCTTGGAAACGGGTTGGAGAGCTGAATGGGGAGGGGCCTGGCCTGGCTTGGAACCACATCCCAGAGCCACGGTGGCCAGTAAGTACACCAAGGACAGCAGAAAGGTCAGACCGTGTGGTAAGAGGTGAAGTGTCTCGCTCTGGTTCTGAGTCTCCCTCCCTCTCCTCCAAGGGGACAAGCTGGACGCGGATTACATCGAGAGGTGCCTGGGCCGTCTCACGCCCATGCAGGAGAGCTGCCTGATCCAGCTTCGGCACTGGCTGCAGGAGACCCACACAGGCAAGGTGGGTGCAGGGGACTCACTTCCCATGGCAGGGATCAGCGGAGGCACTGGGGAGGCAAGAGAGCTAAGTTTATGTAATTAGCAATATTAAGACCTTGCATTTTGTTTTATTTTTATTGTTATTGTCCCGTGCACCCATAACACAGGCTGAGGGCACCTCTGGTGGCAGAATTTCTCATCCTTTGGGGCCAGGCATCTCTTTGTAGTTGGCACTTGTTTTGTGCACTGTAGCTTGCTTAATAGCCTCGCCTCCAGCTAGCAGATGCTAGTTGCTCCCCCTCCCTAGTTATGACGACCCACATGGCTTCCAACGTAGTACCATGTTCGCCAGACCTTATATACTGTCCCTTCCCATGAGATTCCATGGCTTTGTGAGAGCAGTTCTTGAATGCACATGGAATTTTGCCTTTAGGCTCTAACCCTGTGATAGGGAGGTGCACCAGGCCTGCACATCCCACTCGTGGCCTTCTCTTCGGCTCCTTTGAAGAAGGCCTGGGTTGCCTGCTGTTCCTTCTCCCTTGAGGGAGGAGCTACTTCGTGTTGGGCTGTGATGTGACCTGCTGGCCCCTGCTTCTGCATCTGTAAAAACAGGGATGATATTGGTATATGCCTCCTAGAGTGAGTTACAAAGCCCGATCCACGCGAAATGCTTAGAAAGGTGTCCAGCCCAGAGTGAACACTCACAAAAGGGCAGCTTTCATTGCTAGTTTTGCATAAGAGTTGCACAGAGAAGGAGGAGGAGGGGGAGGAGGAGGAAGAGGAGGAGGAAGAGGCAGAAGAG